ATATGTTGTTCACACATGAACAAGTCCCTGAGGTCGCTGGACAAAGTATTACGCTCACTGAAAGGTGTGCATATTTACAAAAACACACACACAGTCCAGTGTTTCATGTTTTTTTCTTTTATCAATCAATCAATCAATCAATTTTTATTTGTATAGCGTCAACTCATAACAAGTGTTATCTGGAGACACTTAGGTAAAAGACCTTACTCATTGTTATGTTACAAAAAGCAGGTAAAAGACCTTACTTATGCTATATTAAAAAGACCCGGCCTATCCATCATGAGCACTTTATGTCCCTTTGTTCGGCACAGTCATGCATTGTAGTTCTGCATTAGACTCTTAGAATTAGAAAGACTATCAGAACTCAATAACTCACTTCTTCAAATGTTTACACTCTCAGTTAGGGATCAGGGTAACTCATGAAGCGAGGCCCACAATACTAATATCACTGCACATCAATTCTGCAATAATTGATGCATTGAAAGACACGCATATGATGTTGCACGACGATATTCGATTAACTGAAGAATATGAAATACCCATAAAAAGGGAACGTGCAGAATTAATGTATTTAATCACTGCAGTTTGGTGTCATTTTCACCTCTCATCATGCTTTTTCTCTTCATTCATTTCCACCGTCTTCTTCATCTTTTATCGTGCTGTCGACTTTTTTTTTGGCCCTCAATCAAGTCATATACGCCACTATGGATGTCATGAAGTGGTGACACTCTTTATCTTAGATAAAATATCAGTTTTGGTAAATGAATTTGAGCTTGTTTAGGGCTTTCCTAGTCTTCTGACTACTCAAAGTGCTTTTACACTTTGAGTAGTCACACCTACACACTGATGGTAGAGGTCGCTATGTAGTGAGTACATCAGAAGTAACTAATACATTCATACACAAGCATATGCGGGCGACAAAGCAGCAGGAACAATTCAGGGTTAAGGAGCTGGGAAGCGACCTTTCGATTGAGAGACGACCAACTCTACCAATTGAGCCACAGCCTTATTCTGCAGCAGTGAATCAAAACTGTATCACACGAGTCAGTACAACCATAAAGTATATTACTGAATCAATGTTAAGTCCAACCTGTAACACTGAGTCCTAGATCTTCCTACTGCTCTCTCCCTTTCATACACACACACACACACACACACACACACACACACACACACACACACACACACACACACACACACACACACACACACACACACACACACACACACACACACACACACACACACACACACACACACACACACACACACACACACACTGTGCTCCCTACAGAAATTGGTTATTAGGGCTTTGTCATGAGTTATACATCATAATGATATTATCAAAGGAAAGTTATTGAAAACAGAGTCAGTTTTTAAAATGTGTTCTTTAAAGAACTTAATAAACAACCCGATCAGTGTGTGTGGTTTGCACAGTTGCAGTATTTTTCCACTGTATCACACACACTGGTAACAGAGTCCTTAACTCCACCGACTGAGATCACAAACAGCTGTGACACACACTAACGCTCCATATACACACCATCCAATCTGACTCTAATCCACTCATCTCTGTCCCTCTGAAGAAAGCCCACTAAGACACACAAACAGACAATTACACACACACACAAAATTGGTCACTTGAGCACGCCCCAGATGTTCAAAGCGTTGTTAAAGAAAAGGGCTTTCCACTTCTCTGATGTGGTTCAGGAAATAGCAGAGGAGCTCTCAACAGGAACGTTAAGACTTTCCTTGCAGGGCGCTGCCCATCTCTTGAAAAGCAGCTTTCATTTCTAAATACATTTACATTTATTCTGTAAGAAAAAACACGACAACAGCAACATCATTAAAAACCGTTTTCACAAATGCACACCTGAAAACATCAAGGACATTTCAGGCAGACTGCCCTTGAAACCTTCCTGAGGTGATGGCTCACACGCGTTCACTTCACAGCAGGAGACTATCCCTTATGGACGGGAGAGGGGAAACATGATGTCAAAAGAACAATACAGAAATGGCAGACAGAGCAACAGATTGTGAGGCTGTGGTGACCATTTTGTACTTTGACACAACAAAACAGGGAAGAAGAACAATAAAGAAAAAGAAAACCTAATGAAGCTGTTTCATTAGGTGGCAGGAGATCACAGTGGTTGCGGGCATACAGTCAATATGGTCGTGCACTGGTCAGTGGATATAAACATCACCACCTGTACACATTTTCCTGGATATTTCCTGCCGCGCTCTTCATCAGATCAGAGCTCAATCCAACTTCATACGGAAAATTTACTAGGCGGCCGGCAGGAAAAACTCTGGGTAAAGTCAAAGTGAAAAATGTGGCTGTTTGTGTTCACACATATAGCCCCCCCCCCCCCCCCCCACTCAGAGTTTTGTGCCAGTGTGAAACCCAAAAATCGTACTAATATTATTTAAAAAATAATGCACCACATCAGCAATTATTTGAGTTTGGAAGATATATTTTAAGAAATAGAGGGACGACACTTTGAGAATATCATGTTGGTGTAACACTTCTGACACATGGCCACACTAAATAGAGGAGACCAGTACCACTTATCAAGATGAAATATTGTCTGATACTGCTCTTCATTCTGAGTGTGTCTCCATGTGAGGCATTCAGAGGACCAAATCAAATCTTTGATTTTTTATTTTTTTTTAAATTAACATTCAATGTCGTCTGCCAGAAGCACTTTCATCTGTTCATGAATTAGCATAAACAACAATAGCTTGTAGACTGTAATCAGACGAGAGAAACACGGAGGTGGCAGGGCTGGTAATACATGAAACAGGCCAAAAAACCTGCCAAAGGAAACTGTCTCTGTTCTTCAAGAAATAGTGTTTATAACTCAATAAAAAAGTTCTATACACTCTTAATCTTTCTCTATCTATCGTATGTAACAACGAGTGAAAATCTGCAAGACCAGATTACTATAATATTTGAAATATCAGCTGGCCTGATATCAGACCAACACATTTCTAAACATCCATTTGCATCATTACAAGTCACATAATGTGTGACTTAGCAGTTCAATGGTTTATTAAAGGTTAGAGCCCTCTATATTAATTTAATGAACCCCTTGGAGCAGTGGTCACTCAGAGTGGAGCGCATGCTGCGCTGTGGAAATGACCATTAACAGCGGAGAGAAAAAGAAAAGATTTATGTCATGTCATGTGTCACTGTGTGACCACAACCAAAGCCTATTATCATCTGAAACACACCCAGCGTCTGTAACATGACACAGCAGAGGAGATTAAGAGAAAAAACATATGTCATGACAGGATTACAGATAAAATGACAGGAAATGGTGGGGATGGGGGGCTTAAGTATACTCTTGATTTACAACTGATGTGCAGCTGACCTTAGGAGGGAACTGTTGCAAATCCTGTAGATATATTATAGGATTGTTGTGGTAATCTAGTAAATAAAATACTCTATTAAAGGCTGATAAGGTTGCAAGAAATGTTGCAGCACAGATAAATCCCTAAAGGGATATTATAAGGACATTATAACGTTAACATGGGGAGAAAAGGATATCTTTAATTAAGTCTGTGAAAGTACAGCAGGTACACATTAAAACCATACAGGGGTTTAAATCAGAGCTATATAACCCCAGGTTAGTAAGTAGTCTTCAAAGACTCACAAAAGCAGCAGGCTTCATGGAATACACATAAATGTATTAACTAACTGATGTGCCATATCCAAAAAAATAGCTCATTTCATAAATGGATTTCTATTGGCTGTAGGATTAAGGGTCTTAGATTAGTCTTCATTGTGCACAGACCAACAACTAGATCCAAAAGATATTTAGTTTTAAATGATATCAAAGCACAGGGAGTCCTCAAATTCAAAACCAGTTTGACGTTGTTTTGTAAGAGGAAAATGCTTAGATTACGTTTTATTTTTTTCCTTTTTTTGATCAAATAATGGATGATTGGTTCAGCTGTAATAGAATTCAGTGACATGAGAAACACACAAATGAGGTTTTGTTTATTAAGGCTTACTGCTAGAGGTATGGAGTTGAGTTGTATATTTATGTTGAAATAATCATACACTGTTGATTTTTGTAAATGTAGGTGGAAAATGATGATCCCTGCACTTCACACAGGGTAACCCCAACACAATGTATTACGCAACATTATGATTCAAATGCAAATGGTTTCATTTGCATAAAAAAAGGACAGCATTGCAGGATGGATACCTCTGCGGCTCCTCATATAACAGAATCATTGACATGGAGGAGAAAACCTGAGGCCTTCTTATCCGGCCCTGAGGCGTTCATATCTTACAGTAGTGATACCACTCAGCGCTCCAAGCCCCCTTTACTAATGCTTCATACAACAATGTGTAAATGTAATGTCAGAGTGATGTTAACACAGCTATAAGCTCAAAGATTCTTATTTGTCTCTTCCTATGATAGGATACAGAGCCACACCTAAAATTATTAAACATCGAAGAAAAAAAAAAGCATGACACTGCAACATTTAAAAATACTAAAAAATACTCCATAAATCACGGCACCTGCATCATCTTTTTCCTGACACCCAATTTGATCGTGTGTCCACCCACACACACACACACACACACACACACACACACACACACACACACACACACACACACACACACACACACACACACACACACACACACACACACACACACACACACACACACACACACACACACACACACACACACGGCATCACCAGATGTTTGAAGTGGGATGAAAGAATAAAGCTTGGGGCAGATGTTTGACAGGGCCACCAAAGGGTTAAAGTCAGGGGTACTATAGGGTCAACAGTCTGGCTTTTCCAAGACAACAAAAAAAACAACACAAAATCATGATCTGATCAGGTTTAATATATGAGCTCGTGTGTGTGTGTGTGTGTGTGTGTGTGTGTGAAATGACCAGAAGAAAAGAGTGAGAGAGAGAGTCACACATACACACTATAGAGTTATTAGACCGTGCTTATTAGAGACTTACTTCATCTGTTTGACGATGGTGCTTTTCCCTGACTCTCCAGCCCCTAAGGGACAAGAGACAAGAAGACAATGTAAACAGGGTGTACATGTGTGTGTGTGTGTGTGTGTGTGTGTGTGAGAGAGAGAGAGAGAGAGTGAGAAAGAGCAAAGACAGAATCAGAGTGAGACAGAGGATGGGGGGCCGGAGAGAAAAAGAAAGAAAGGGGAGAATCAACCCTTTTAAAAAGCCATAAGTGAATAAAGGCAGCATCGAGATGGGTGGAGACAAAAAAGATGGAGTGAGTGGCTGCACCCTTTCTTCCTCAGATCCATCAATTCTCTCCTCCCATCTTCCATCTTAGTCGAATACTTTTAACAAGAACTTTCTCATACAAATAAAAATGAATCCATCCTCCAGCCTATGAAGCAGCTCTGCCTGTGTTTCTTCCTCCATTTCTACATACTGCCATTTTTTTTCCCATCTGCAGTTATCTGTGATGTAGTAGTTCCCACCTTTTTTTTTACCAACTAACTGATTCTGCAGAATACATTAGCACCTGCAATATCTTTGATGGATCAAATCCTAAAACAGCAGGTGGCTTCAGAGCAGGGTGGAAACATTAATCAAACCATTAGGCTACTTATTATACCAAATCTTTTTCTTTTTTTTTTTGTATCAGCTTTATTCGATGTGAACTATTTCCACCACTGCCCTCAGTGTTGATAATCCTCCCGACACCACACCTTGCATCCCCCCTCTCTAAGCCTCTCGGTTCTCTGCTCTGGCTCTACAGGCCGTACGGTGGGGGGGTTGGGGTTGGGGTTGGGGGGGGGACTCGACGGTCGTGTCTTACCGAGCAGCAGCAGCTTCACATCTTTGGCCGCAGTGAGACCGTCCTCCTTGAGGTTCTTCTCGATGGCTTTGCTCCGGTCCAGAGCCGCCCTCTCTTCTGCACTCAGAGTACATCCCATGGTTAGAGAGCACAGCTTGATAGCGTTACCGAGACGGGGATCCACGGCAGAAAAGGCAATAGACGCTGATTTTCAAAGAATCGTGTGCTTTGCAAACAAAGATGCTTGCAAATCCTCTTCTTTTTCTTTCTTGGTCGATTTCCTCCTCTTTTTTCCCCCCTGTGCTTTGCTTTCGATCCCTCTGTGGTATCCCTCTTGTCTTGTCGCTCTCTGGGCTGCTCCCTCTCTCTCGCTCTCAAGCCGGGGACTCGGTACCGTTACAGCATTTAAATGTAAGGATCCACTCGGTTTGATCCACAGGGGTAGAAACAACACGATGTATCAATGGTCTGTCCGTCCGGCTGGCCGTCAGTCCTCCACTATCTCTCCTTGTTTTTTGTCCTGCCTGTAAATCACGGTAACGGGTCTTTCCAGTAGTCGATAGGAAGTGTTACTGGGCGGAGGTGAGCAGCGCTCCTTTGCTCGGCGTTCCTCCGTTCGGCTCCTCCGGGGCGGGCGGCGGGGACTCTCTGCAACACTAACTGCCTCCCGGTTACTCCAGCAGGGGCTCGGTCGGTTGTTCGTTAGTTCATTCGTACAATTGCAGGTTAGTGACGTCAGAGCCGTGATAAAACGAATTGGTGAGAGAGGAAGAGCAACTTTACTTCCAGTGGCGCGGCCTGCTGGTGGACTTTGTACCTACACAGGCTTTCTGTGGTAGCCTACATAGACTACTTGTAGTCTATGTAGGCTACAGAGACTACCTTAATATTTACAGTCTGTGGCAGTGGTACCCAAAGTGGGGGTCGGGATCCCCTGGGGGGTCGCGAGACACTGGGAGGGGGGGTCAGTGTTTGGATTGGCCCATTAGTGCGTGCTGCTGTGTGCACCGTTATGCTTTAACCACTTCCAGGGACAGAAGGGGTCCCCGGTCTCTCGCATCGTTCTTTTGGGGGTCGCCGGAGGAAAAGTTTGGGAACCACTGGTCTATGGTACATAGCCTACCCTAAATGACACATAGGCTGATGTCCCGACAGAAGCCGAGCTTATGGCAACTTCTTAACAAATATTTACTGCGTGTTAATTAATGGCTCACCTGTCAAATGAGTCCAAGACACACAGAAAGTGAACATGTAGCCTATCTTTTAGCTAAGATGCTCGAATATTTAAGTGTGTGAGCAGATTGGATCTTATGTCGTCATAGGCGTCCCAACGAAGCTGACATTTGGAAAAAAAAACAAGTAGGCTAAATACTTACAGTAAGTAAAAACTCAACACTTTAGGATGTATTAATATTCATTAAATAAACGAACATGTTCAGAGCTCCAACAGAGTTTAATTCAATAACGTCCACTTGTCTTTCAGGGAGTTTCCCAGAGCTGTCAATGACACCATGTGACCCTCAACTGTGTATTTTTAGTTGCCATGGAGATATGCCTATATTGAGGTGATTCAGTTTTTCTTATGTAACCTGTCCATGAAATGTAGGTTACCCATAGGCTAAGAGTCTACTGTGCCAATGCTGGGTAGATTAAATAAGACATTTCTTTTTATATGTAAACAATGAACTCACATGTTTATTATTTTAATTTTATGACAGGGTGTTGCCTCAAATCTAGCTGTGGGTGATTCCTGAGTCCTCTGGGGCTCAAGGCAAATGTCAAAAATGGCCAAATGTGACCTTTGTTCATTCACATTGACATTAGGAGCTGTATTGTTTTTAAAAATATTGATATAAACACTAGAACCCTTCATATTCCTCCTGTCACTTTCATTGACAAGCGTAGATTTTCACAGCAATAATGTATTCAATGCTTGACAGCACAACAAGAGTTAGGGCTGTCAGATGGGGCCCACCTTAGGGAGCTTTCCTACTGTCAATGCAAACTTTTGCACATTTCGAGACACTGCTGTGGTTGAAACTTGGTCAGAGCAGGGGGAACCCATACTGGCCTGATGGGGCCCCAAGCAGTTTCCTGCCTTGCCTGTTGACAAGCAGCTCCCCTGGTTGTTGTGTGTAGCCTACTTAGCATAGACTGTAAATAATAGTGAGTGACGTCACCCATCTGTTACTGAAGGGGAAATTGGAAGCAGGCCCCTAGGAAGATATACGCAGACTCTGAAGCCAATAAAGGAAAAGGTCCCGAAAATACTTTTAAGCTTCCATAAGCTTCCTTTTGGAAAGACCAGCTATAAATCAGCAGACACATTTTTTTTGAGGAACATCAACGTCCTCGAGAAAAGCCAGTAAGTTATAAACATTTGGTTAATGTTGTGCTTCTGCCATGACTTAAATTTAAATACAAAGATCCCATGGACGAGTCATTGTCCAAAGTTTCTAATGCATTCAGTAATAGAAAAATATTTTTATCATGGGGTCTGTACAAGTTGTTGATACCTTTATGTCCTTTTATATATTTTGGCCCACACATTAACTGCAAGTTTAGATGACAGGGCTCTCATCTGCTTCCCCATAAAACCAAAGGCAGCTGTTTCCTGCATGCACTTCCTCACGCTGCCCTGCCCAACTTATATGGCAGTGAGCCAAAGTGAACAAGTGATTGGTGCAGGGAGTCAAACACTGAACATTTGCTAACTGGCACAGTAGCTGCATCCTGGTGGGTTTTAAGAGAAGATTATTTTACAATCGCGCAAACAGAGGACATGCATTCAAAAACACACTGTAAAACCTCCATTACCTCACAGCTGGTGTACATATAACCTATGAACGCAGTCATGAAGATGTCTTCAACTGCATGAGCCCGCAATAAAAGACATTCAAATCATGACCTTTTTTCTTGAATGAGTTCACAAGCGTTCATGCACATACAGTAGTGTCCTGTCTCATTTTTTACTCATGTCGCACTATTTAGAGATGCTGAAACTATGGAAGCCCATTTCCGCCAGTTAAAAAAAAAAAGAAAACTTGGCTTTGTTGATATATTTTTTTTGCCCATTAAAAATCGAAATTATGAGATAAAAATACTAAATTACTAGTTGATAAGTGTGAATGTGCTCCAGCTGGCATCGCAGTCCCCACATCCCCTCCCTCGCCCAGTCATTTAAACGACATGCAATCCTAAACAAGGCAATTCAAGCAATCCTAATTCAGCCAAATGTAGTAAACGTTGGATGCATGATAAATAGTTTTTCTTTTAATCTGGTTGTCGTTAGAACTAAACATATTACATTACTGTTTAAGTAGCATTGACCGTTTAACTGTCAATGTACCAAATAGTTATTTTGTAGGCTAAAGTTCATGGTAGTAGGTGGTTTCCCTGACTTTTTATCTCATAATTTCGGCTTTTTATCTCATTATTATGACTTTCTATCTCATAATTATGACTTCATTATCTCATAATTTCGACTTTTAACAGGCAAAAAAAAATCTCAACAAAGCCAAGTTTTCATTTTTATTTTTTTAACTGGCGGAAATGGGCTTCCATATGAAACTCTTTGTGATGATACTCTGTGAACTTCCAGGTTTAGTGTTTGATTCTTGAGACAAAAAATCCATCTTGACCCTGAAGTGTGCACCAAATTTCCAGTACTCTTTTTCCAAATTAAAACAAATGTAAAATTGTATTGGAAAAAGAAAAAGTCAACAGATCACTTAAATCTTTAGTGTTTATCTTTAGAAATCAGTAGCAAATCTCCCTCTGTATTTGGGGGTACGTCACTGTCAACAACATGATGAGGGTGGTGAAGAGGGTCAGCATGCTCAGTGGAACTCGAGTTTTAGGAATGATGTTCGTTGTTCACATTGATACTTAAAAATTGAGTTTCTGTTCAGATTGGTAGATTTTCCATATGGCATGATATCTTTATGAATAAAAAACCTGACAATAACCAAAAAGGTTCCCCTGCTTATGTCAGCCAAAAGGTAGCAGACCTAGAACCCTTCACACAAAGAACTCCTGAACTGGTACATTAAGCAGAGTTCAATTACAGTGCAGAGAAGAAGCGCCTGACATTTAAAGAAGATATGTTTCTGCAGAGGAAAATACATTTAAATACTGCATTTGGGGTATTTCTTAAGTCAGTTATGCATATTTTACCTGCGCTGTATAC